AGCACATCACAGGACAGGGATTCCCATGGGGATAGGTATTGAAAAAAACATCCAAATCGGGCCACAATCTACGTTCCAGACGTCTACAAAAATTAAGACCCTTTTCTTTTTTCCTACTCAGCACAATGTCTGGTTGGATATCACTATGCGCATTCAATCCGCCTCACCGGAGCCGTGTCCGGGACCATGGAAAGTTGAGTGGCGAGCGTATGTAGCGATGGGGACCCTTACCCGTATCACCAAGAAGAAGTGGTCATGCTCTTTGCATGATGCGAGAGTGGGCGGTGAGCTATCATAATCACTTGTACTCGTCATTTTCTTTGTACGAGGAAACGAAAGAACAATTTCTCTCAAAGGAAGAAAACTGATAGAAATATGACCCCCAGCTGGAACGCCGAGAGAATTTAGAAAAAAAAAAAAAAAAAAAAAAGCGACCGCCTTTCTCGAGGGTACTTGGACAATACAATGCAGCATGTCACTAATTTGTACCCTCTTTCTTTATCCTTTCCAGGCCGGGGTATCTCCTGCGATTGTAGAACCAGGATTGTTAGAATTTCCGCTCCTTATTTCTCGGCCATGAGATTGTTGCTTGGAATTGATATGAGTCGAGGGTCATTCGACACTTGATTGCGTGGTGATGAATCATCTAGGTTATGCCTTTACAAAGGTGGGCCACGCAAATATGACCATGAAAACAACCAATGATATCCGACATGTAGCAGCCGCTGCAATTGAGTGGTCGAGGCAAGCTGGCTGATATGCTCACTGGCTGGCTTGCCGTCGAAATCAGATCAATGGCCTCATGGTGCGGCCCCTTGTGCGTAATTTGGCTTGAATTTCGGCAGTGTGGACATACTCGGACAACGGGATTGGACGACACGGCGATGAACTTGAGACATCCAATTGACTGCCTGTATTATGTAATCCAACTTGATCCTGCGCTGGTGTCGTGGCTACAGTATCATCAAGGTATCTGAAGCGCATGTTTATTTCCATTGCCTTGTGGGATCTATCGCTCAAAGCTACGAGCATTCCGTGACCGGATTTTGATATTTCAGATTGACTTTGAATTTATGAAATAATCCATGACATAAGTCATCTTGAACGAGATCTTGGGGATGTTCTTAAACTCTATCATGACTCAGTGCTCGACACATCTTTCAGCGTTGTGAAGCGAGCATTTTTCCACTCATAATACAGTTTCTATTGGTGAAATTTGTATCTAAAAGTTTAAGAGAATATAGCATCATATGCCACTTTACCACGAAAATATGGGACTTGAGAGAGAATGTGCGAGTGCTGCCAAGAAGCCCATCGTCGGCCGGAAGATGCACTCGCAAGCACCGTGATGATTAGGGCCTTCATGACTCAGGTTATCAGCCTTCCGACACTAGATGTAGCTAAAATCCTATGTAAAGTTCACTCGGGACATATTTTGTAATTATCTGTTCAGATACTGCGTAACGGCCTTGCTGCCAGTCATGATTTAGGACGGATTGTGCTACTGGCTCACACGAGCAGGCCATATCGATCCTCTCGAGACTGCTTCAACTCCTGAATCACTCAGAAGACGTTACGCAGGGACAAGACAAGTGCTAACGCTGGCCAGAAGCCTGCAAAATAGGTTCGAGCATCGACCAAGTATTCCCAGGTAGCCAAACTCTAAACCTAAAATAAGATGAGACTGATGAGAAGGCCGACTCAAGTCAACAAGTCACAGTAAGCTGATGGTATTCCTGCGGACTAGCTTCATAGAACAGCCGACCTACTTGTTGTTGTTGTTGTCAAAAAGATCCAGGATAAACAAACATCCAGCGTAAGATCGATGGGCACGAAAAGTCAGGCCCAAAGCTGAAGCTGAAGCGCTGGATCGGCTCGCCTTGCTGAATTTTCACTTTCTAGCTGCATTCACTAAAGCCCGCCACGGGATTTCAAGCAATTCATGGACTTGTACACTACAGGTTGATACAGCCTTTGGCTTCGTATCATGTGGATCGGACAGCTCGATAGCATGGCGCCACAGGAACCCGACAACTCACGACGAGCATGCCCAATGCTTATTTGTACATGGAGATGGTCTATTGTATACATATTTCTCCGGGAACCAGCGTCGAACATGGAGCGGATTGCCTTCAGCCTGAGGAAACAGAGACCATCGTAGCTCAAGTTTACAGATAGTGATCAGCATCTACTCAGCAATTGCGACGGAGCGCACGAGCACGGAGATGAAACTGGAGTCGTCGCTGGCTGTCCTGTATAGAGAATGATTACACTAAGAGGATTACCCAGACTATTCGGACAAGACTAGCACTCGTAGGTACAGCAGCTTCTCGCTGAAAGAGGAAATACTACAAGGTACCGAAAGACTACGCCTTGGTGTTCTTGGCGTAAGCTGTACACTGACATGCGAGGGCATGAATCAAGACATCTTTACTTTTCGCCGTGTTCTTTCCGTCTTCAGCGTAGTCAAGGAGTGGTTCATAGGCCGTATTGAAACCACATTATTGAGCACTGGCAGTGAAAAATACTCGCCCCAGTACCCTGGCTAAATCCGTGGTGACATCCGCAATGCTTCCATGTTGTGTTAGAATCCAGAGATATCTTCGTTAGAAAGTACCTATATCCTCATAAAGTGATATCTTTTCTATGGAAACACTCTCCGTGGAATAGGAGTGAAAGAATTGGCGCAGCTATTGGCGTATCAATAGCAAAGGTGGATAGAGTCGGGGTCACATCAAGTCATTGAAACTTTGTAACTTTTGAATCCACGCATTCGGTAAAGGGACGTTACATTTCAGCTTGTGACAATACGTCGATTTGTAAAGCCTATGGCCTCTTTCAAATGCCGAACAAGGAATACATTTATATCGCAAATCGTGATAATCAAATGTATATGCTTGCAGTCCATGTAATGTAGGATCTTGCTGTAATTCTTTCTGGAGATAGACCAACGGATTTTACATGCACTTGGATTACTCAATTATCAAACAGCTGTGTAGGGGAAAGTAAAGCTCATACCAAAGTATACTCGATCTATTGACAAGGACCCTGTGCAGTGGCAAGTTGTGCCGAAGTGGGTTAAAACTCTTGATAGTATCCTATGAATATATCCGTCGTCGTTGAGAGAACAGCCCTTCAAAGATCCATGTTACTCATTCGAATCCTGCCCTTGAAGATATTGCCTAGTCGTTGATCTGCCTAGTTGCCGCGTCACACTCAGCGTCACCCACGAGTCATGGCAATGGACGCTGAGTGAATGTGGAGTTACCTTGTCTTCCAGTCTGTAGGGCCTAGATTGTGATCCGCAAAACAAGTCAGTCGATTCATGGTGTGCTTGTTTCAGTATGATTGATATTGGAACATCTCCTCCTTTCCCGAGGCAATCTTTGTTTACATCCATTTACCACATCTGGACGCGACTTGTGTTTTTCCTTGATAATCATACTTGGCTCTAATTATGACGCCAAAAATAGAAAGAATGTAAATACAAAACCAGGAAACCCTCACATTCATGGCGCCACTTACTGCCGGGTTCCGAGGGCTTGGGTATTCTGGGGTGAGGTTGTCGCACGACTGCCTTAGGCCCGGTATCTCAAAAGCTTAGTGGTCTGGCACAGACACTATGATGGACAACTGCTGCACTGAAAGGCCTTGCCAATAGCTGCAGCGATGACTCGCGATACACTTGTTGGCGCAATGCAAGGTACAGGGTCTTCGAACAAACACGCAATACATGGTGTACAAGAAGAACCAACATCTTCTTACGGTGAACTGCCACTCCACAACAACGTTGATCTACCTGAAGTCACCATCGTCAACCCGGTGCACCTCGCTTACCTAGAGGTCTGCCCTAACCTAGGTCAATGATCCACAGAGGAGGGTATCTATCGGCTGAAGTTCATAGCATTCCCTAAGCTAATGTAGATACCGCGTCTGGTCTTCCGCTGTAAGCCGCATCAAGACGGTTCAGGTTTAGTTTCTAGCTGAGAATATTGTTTTGTTGTTTCCTTTTCAAGCCAAGCTCTCATCCTCTCGCGTTTAATCTCGCAGGTTTCATGGGCCTGCATGGCAAAGCGCCAAAAAAATGCACTGACTCTGGTTCCTGGATCCTCAGTTTTTACCCGTCTGAAGCGTGTCAGCCACCAAGGGACCCTAGGGGTCTTGACTTTCACATGGAAAATAAGAAGAAAAATCAAAGAACAGACACAACAAAACAGCCCGACGCACCTGCGCCAAACGGCCGTGCGACTGCCCGTGATCTACCTGTCAGATTGGTCTTGACTCGTGGGATGGGAATTATAGATACAAACAAAGCTAGTAAACATAGGGAGTTATAGATCCGGGGACGACTACCGGATTACCCGGTAGTCGATGTTATAGTAGACTCTTAGAGCGGCCCTATCTACATTAAGCCACCTAGTGCAGTCAGTCGTCAGGACTCAGCGCCGCCCTTTAGTGTTAGTCTCCATCAACAATGCCGATCTCGCTTCGGATGAGGGACCCTTTACTGGCTAAGATGGCCTCCAGCCTGCTGAGGCTCAGATGATTTTTCGACAACACAATGGGTTCAATACAGTCCACTAGACTCACTGATGGTCCCAAAGCAGTGTACAAATAATTCAATGCGCGTATTGACAGCTGCCCCCCTTACACTAGGCTATCATTAAAATAGAGAGATAATGTAGTGTACGAAGTACATATAGGAATAAAGCGACGTTTAGGAGATATGGAGGGCGATCAAATACTAGACACTATCTCCCTTCTTAACGCCGATGGAGAGTGGGGGAAATCCAATGACGTTATCCTGGGCCGTGGAGAGCGCGCAACCCCGCGGACACGAACGGCTACTGGCAATTGCGACATTGTGAGCAATTCGGATTCGGAATTATCACGACTTTCACACTTGATGCCTAGATAAGCAGACGAAGGCGGATTTTGTTTTTCTTTAGAAGGAAGAAAATCAACAATTATTTACGAATTGATCAAAATAAACTATCAATATGACCAAGGTTCTTCTGACAGGCGGATCAGGCTTCATTGCCGGTGAGTGATTTGGTGCGCAACGCCAGCTTAGCGCTATTTATACTGATGATATACTTTGCTTTATAGCTCATATCCTTGAGTTGCTTCTCCAGAGAGGCCATGAGGTAGTGACGACAGTTCGATCAGAAGACAAGGCTGCCAAGATTCGTGAGGCACATCCTGATGCAAGGCTTTCTATTGTCATTGTCCCCGACATTGCCAAGCCAGATGCCTTTGACGAGGTGGTCAAAACTCCCGGCCTGGAAGTCGTATTACACAGTAGGTTCAAAACTCGCAAGAATGCAATGGGGCAAATATGGACAGTATACTGAAGATTGAGAATAGCGGCGTCTCCATTCCACTACAAATGGTCCGATCCAAAGACGGAGCTCTTGGACCCTGCCATCATCGGCACAACCTCCATCCTAAAGGCAATCAAGCGGTCCGCACCGGGTGTGAAGCGGGTTGTCATCACCTCGTCCTTTGCCTCCATTCTATCGGACGCGGGCCTGTCTGACCCCAAAACAGTCTTCTCCGAGAAGGACTGGAACCCTAGCACCTACGAGGACGGCCTCAAGGAGCATAAGCCCACATCGTACCGGGTGTCCAAGACGCTCGCCGAAAAGTCGGCCTGGGAATTCGTCGAGAAGGAGAAACCCAACTTTGACCTGGCCACCATTTGCCCACCGCTCGTCTTTGGGCCCGTGGTACACCACCTCAACTCGCTCGCGGCCATCAACACGTCCAACGAGCGCTTTGTCGATCTCATCCACGGCAAGTGGAAGGACGGCATCCCCGACACGGGCGTCTGGTTCTGGGTCGACGTGCGCGACGTGGCCCTGGCCCACGTCGAGGCGTTTGAGCGCCCCGCGGCCGGCGGCAAGCGCTTCTTTGTCCTCTCGGGCAAGTTCAACAACCGCGAGATTGTCGCCGCGGCGCGCCAGAACTTCCCCGAGCTGCGGGACAAGCTGCCGACCGAGGCGGTCCAGGGCGGTGGCTACCCTGCCGAGGGCACATACGGCTACGATAACTCGCGCGCCACCTCGGAGCTGGGGATCAAGTGGATCTCCATTGAGAAGAGCGCCGTCGACACCATCAAGAGTCTGCTGGAGGTGGGCGCCTAAAAGCTAAGCCTCTGGATGAAGATGATGATGGGAATCGTTTTGTGTTAGAACAGGGACCGTCATATATCTAGAAACTCATGAATAAACACCTCCTTCAAGCATCATATCTCGTGTACGTCCAGAAAGATGAGCTTCGTGGTTGGGTCAGAAAGCCAAACTCTTCTCATATGTCATCATGAGCTCTTGATTATTGTCACAAGATATATGACTGAAATTTCATGAAATGAATGGAAATATCAGCCAGCGGACAATTGCGATCTCTTGGTTTCTCGTATAGTATATACCATACTTCCCCTTCGTCCACTAATATCCCTCCGATAACAAGCTCGCACAGCTTGTTGTATCCTGTAATTGAAACATTATTCCCACAAGCTTGGCCGGCAAACATTGTTTAACAGCTGCCCGATAACTTAGCCATTTCCAGTTCTCGCAAAACGATGTCCACACCAATCTGATCATTTTTCCTATCTGCCAGACGCAGCGAATGTTCAGTAGAGCCTGCTTGTTCTTGCTGTCGTTGCATAGTGGCATCACCGTCTTTATTGTCCTTGTTCCCACTACCGCCCATCCAAATACCCCAGCCACTGTCTTGGGTGCCCCGGTTTCCTCTCCCACGAGCATGATGGACTTGCGATGGCGCGGACACGCCGTCATCCTGGGCCGTACCAATGGCCAGCCCGATTTCTCCCGGCGACGGCACGGGACTGACGGACCTGGCCAATGTCGTTTGCATGGACGGAGACGTGGGGGATAGGGGGGATACAGGGGCGACGGGGGAGGAAGACGCGGGCGATCGTGATGATGACTTGAGTAGTGGCGAGGAGGCGAGCACCAGCTGCTGCTGCTGCTGCTGTTGAGGCAGAAGAGGTGCAGCAGGAAGTGCGCGCTCGGGGGGCGGCCCGGCCGGGGTGATCAAGCCCGGTACCAGCAGCGGCGTCTCGTGAGGGCGTCTCGGCCGGGACGGGGATGATGGGGAGGTCAGCGTGGTCTCAGAGCCGGTGGTACTGGCTGTACCGCCCGAGCTGAGACTACTCCTAGGTATGTTGATGTTGTGGCTGTTGTAAATCTGGGTATTCTTTTCCTCCATGCTTGAAGTCGTCTCATGATGGCAATAGGGAGGCGAGTTCCTGTGCGTGGAGGAGGGAAACGCTGGATGCTCTGGAATGACCAGGTCGGGCTGACTGGAGTATGGAGGTGCCGAGGATGATCGTATGGAAGCAGGGCTGGAGACAGACGGGAGGAATCTGCGGTCGCTCAGACGCATTGGCGGTGTCAGGGGTTGTGGCGATTTGGCTCCGGAGGCTGTGGCTGCTGGTGGTGGTGGAGGCGGCGGCGGCGGCGGCGGCGTGGTCGTGGTCGTGATCAAGGATGCGTGAGAGTCGCTGGGCTCCTGGTAGTGAGCCTTGAAAGCCCTGGTCATGGGCGGCGGCGTCTGCATGTAACCCTTTGCACTCCGCTTTCTTCTTCGTAGGCACCAAATCACGAATATCACAGCCATGGCTGCAATTGTTGAGCATATGCCGACGGCAATCTTGCCGGCATTGTTCAGGTCGTTGGAGGACGAATTCGAGAAATCGGGTGAATGTGAATCCATGGTTGCTTTGGTCGTCGAGCTCGCTGTCAGCGACAGGCCAGTACTCGTTGCTGTCAATCTGCTTGAGCCTGTCTCAAAAGGCAACGATGTCTGCCTAGAATTCGCTGCGTCCATGGTAAATCCATCGTTTCTTGAGGCATCGGAATTGTCATTGTCCTGCGAGCACCGGCTCGGTTCCGGAGGACCTGGGTCCGTGATGCCATTGATACCGGTACTAATTGGTCAGAAATCATGGTCATTTTTCCAGTCGTATGGTAACCTACTTTGAACATTGTCCAATAATCTTGTCAACATTGGCTATGTGAACCATAAGCATTAGATGTCCCACGGGCCATGTGTATAATGGATTGTGCTGGCACTCACGATCTGACCCGTGCCCTATGATACCCAGACCACAATATTGAGCATCGCAGCAATAGAGTTCTCCCAGCCTTGTACTCAGATTCTCATCGATCAACTTATGGCAGAGTAGCTCCAAATCAGACTCAGTGTCTCCCGATGGATTTATGCCCAGTTCTTTAGTGAATCTGTTTCTACACTGAAAGTCATTAAGTCAGCATTAGTTCTTCGTCTCATGAATGATAAAATGTGATATGTGTACGTGATGTACGAAGAAGCAAATTCCGAAGAAGGAGGTAAAAACGAAGCATTGGGGGCGGCTTACAGATGCCATACACGCTGTTACATTGCCCAAGCCGAAAGACTCCGGATCATCGGAATTCTCCCCATCATTGACGTTCCTTTTGTTGAGCTTCTTGCTGGTCTCTGGCATTTCCTTGGTACCTATCCAGGTCGATATCTTCATCTTTCCGAGACTCGTTTATACGATTACCCTGGCCTCAGAAACATGTGTCTAAGTGAGGCAAAGCAAGAGAAGGGGGAAATGTAAGAAGGATTTTATGGATCATTAAGTCCTAGCTGAAAAGTATTGACTGAAAATGGGGCAAGGAATAGAAACGAGTGAGCTGACATGCGAAAATTCTCCGTATGGCTAAATGAAAGACAACCCCCATTCTGGGGGCGAAGAGAGGTTGCTATGTATAGATGCGCAGAGAGATTGAGCCCCTGTGCAGAGAACGGTATACACCTTGTGCGTCGCGAGCTCTGCAACAATAGGCAACCTCAGTATAGAGTCACAGTTGAACGACGATTTGCTTCCCCCCCTCCCCATGATGACTTAGCACGCACGCATTGGGCGAGGGCAGCGGTTTGATGTGTGATGATGATGATGCGCTTCCTGCATCTACGGTCGCAAGCTAGATACTGCACGGGCGGGCAAAACGGTGGAAGTCATACTTGACCTGCATGTATCCGGCTCCGACGATAATGGAGGGGAACTTTTCCTCGCATGAGAGGGGATAAAGACATGGTAACACGAAAATCACCGAAGCCATAGCTTGGTGTAGCTGCAGATATCCGACGGCTACCCCTATGACTGAGCAAGCTTGGCACTACTTTGGGCTGAGAGGTCTCACGTTTTTCTTTCAATGGCCAAGACTACACAAAGTAGTGTGAGTGTACCTACCCCCTTTTCTTCGTTCATCTATAAGCAGGCTGAGGTGTAAGCGACAGAAGTTTTCCTCCTGCTTCTCTCGCATGGGGAAAACCTTGTACAGCGGATCGTGCATAAACGACCGAGATGCGTCGCGATACTGTGCGATATTGCACAGGGATGGGAAAGAAGCCAGGCTCTTACAGCAGCACGAGAACTGTGATGTGGTAACAATTGTATGAGCTGAGCACATTCCGCTACGGGAAAATCTTGTGCAAAGATCCCGAATGATGACTCTTGAAGCGTCATTGGATCTTGAAACCGTATCTTCCATTTCCCCAAGGTAGGACTGATCCAAGGCGCTCGAATCTGGAGGCAAAGGAAGCTCATTACATAGAAGATCCTCAGCACGGCAATCTCTCAGTTGCCTTGATTCGTTCAACAGCGAGCCGTACTTTTGAGAGGGCAACATCTTATCAAGACTACATGGCAGGGCAGCCTTACCGTCAGGTACGTGTGCTTGACATGGATGCGGCTGGCGTACCTGTCCTTCTTACAGACCGGGATGGTCAAGAGCAACCGGATCTGCACAAGCACCGTAGAGACCGTGGAAGTAGACAGCCGTGGTGGGTAACCAATGATTTTCCTCTGTAGGCGAAGAAGAGCACAAGGAGATGCGGTGTACCTGGGTGTTCCAGCGGCCCGCATTATTGCGACTGTGTAACCCCCATGAGGGTCACAAAATCAAGAAGAAGAAAAAAATAAGACGCTCCATTTTTCGGTCATATCCTTCTTCTTTTCTTGCCTAACGGTAATGGGAGACACAATATCAAGATCAATCATTCAAACAGGGTGAATGTTTGTGCTGGCACAATAACGGACAGTCTGCATATGGATGACTGTAGGACTACTGATGCAAAAAGAAATTATTCTGCAGGAACAGATCGGCAATGCATACGTTGACGTAGCCATCTTCCGTATACACACTTGGTAGCAGCAGATAGGGCGATACGAAGAAACGGTTGCGCATCCAACACACGATTCTCCGCATTTACATCATCCCATGGGGGATACATAACAACAGTATACTTGAGGTTTTGATCCATTGGTATTGGTTTAATTACCCCTCTGAGAAACTTTCTGCAGAATGATCAAGTAAAACATACAGTCTTCACGATATTTACAGGTTTGAGCAAGCCTGGTTGTGCCCGGTACCGGAGATGTATACTGTAGACATGCGCGCTCCGAGTGGCGCGTAAATGGTCTCTTCACTGGCAAGTCTACAGATCTGGACAAAATACTTGTCAATCAGACGGGTTGCAAAAGGAGAGGCGGGGAAAAATCAATTCGCCTCGTGTCGTTTTTTCATCACGGATGGTTCTGGACGAATAAGAAAGCTTGTCGATGCCGTCGTGCATGAGCGCGCGCCACTATTGATGTGCCATATGTCGTATTTCGGATTCTAGAAGAAGAAGAAGATGCTTCTCCTTGCCGATAATACTTCAGCTTACTCATTGCAGTTGTTTTCTCGAGGATATTTTTCTCTCGATTCGACAGGAGTGGTCGCTATCGTAAGAAGTACATCAATGCACAATCAAGCAGTTACGCGCCAGGAAATAGGAATAGAAAAGAAGGACAAAGAATGGGGAGGGAAAGGGGAGGTTTAATCGAAATGTGTCTGATTTCGATTTCCCACAATCTCCATTTCGATAAGCCCTCTTTTCTGACATGCCCTGAGCAATATTGAATTATCTAATCAAGGTCTTTGTTCTTGGGAACTCTTGCTCGTCTCTTTTAGCAATTGGATGGCGCGGCGACCTCCTGCTTGATTTCATTTCTTAAGGTTTCCATCATGCCCATCAAATACTTTTTCTCTCGGCAGATAATTGCCTGTTCTGCCTGGATGTCTTCACGCTCTTCGCAAAGTCTTGCTACCTCTTCTACTTTAAATACTGCCAACATGGAGTTTCAAGAAGCCTGGGAATGCGCGAGCCTGGATGACTATTGAAAGATAGACGTTCTGTGATGTTGAAACTCCCAGTTTGATTTGTCAACGGGGCTTAGAGCAGAGTAAATGGTCATATGTAGAGGGGCAGACATGCATTGGATTGAAGATGAACTGATTCTTTGACCTGCAATTTATAAGGGGTAGAACCAACCCCCTTACTTAAAGCCGTGAAACTGCAGTACAGGATCTGGTAAAAGAATGCATAATAGAGGACCAGAGAGGTGAGGGCAAAAGAATCAACTATGTAATGCGTTTGCTGCGATTGTTAGTTAGGATCAGATAATGGTGATACCTTACTAGGCGGAAATGGATTGAGGATTATTGAAGTTCCGTATTTTGCAAACATCAATTTGGCAACTAGTATAGGATTCCCACCCATGTGTAAGTCATTTTGGGTGTTCTGAGGCGGGGGACAATGGCGAAATTAACTAGGTTAGAGCTCCTTCGGGATGACCAATCCAACATCGGCGAGTTTCTGCACATTTCCATTTGGAGAAGATGACTCAGCGAGCTATTGTTTGCGGATAGTGATGAATGGCGAGGCAATATGAAGCTATCAATCGGCAGCTTGTGCACACATAGCATACGGGAAACGATTTGAAAAAAAGTGCTTTCTTTACTCAAGTCTTGACATGGATATAATGCAGGTACAGAAACAGTCGAATGAGTGCATGGTCGCCCGCCGAGCAGACACTATTTCTTGATCATGATTAATTCCCAAGATACAATCTAGATGACAGAAGATCTACAGAATCTATACTCCTTTCAGCTTTTCATGTTTCCTCATTCTTCTTCTCTCCAATACAGAAATCGCAATGCGTGTGCAATATGAGTATGGTATGCTGTAATCAAGGCATTTCTAGTGATATAATGGTGCACTAGATACTGGTTGGTATGGACCCTCAGGGTGTTCCAGGTAACCCCACCACAATTGTATGAAGCCTTGTTAGCGCTCCAATCGATAAGGCAGGTAGAGGTACCTACAGTGCCAGCTAAGGTAGGCCAGTACATTACTACAAACTCCGATTGTTGGAAGCTCTATCTTTCTCCGATAGCTTAACTCTCTCCCCGCGGGCGTCGTCTGTCTGCCTAGGTCGTCTGGACGCCGCCTCCGTAATACTACTACTACGTACATGCACCTTGATCCATTCACAATCCGACTCGATTGTCACCAACAAGCGATTGTTCGCATTTCCCAAATTTTGCTGTCTACAATACATACAAATTGCTTTTCTTATCCTTATTCTTCTTAGAAATAATTTCTTCAAATTCATAGATCCTCGAGGTTGGTTTGCAACACTACAACTCATTCACAGATCGATCCCAACGAACCAGCCAGCAGCACCCGAGCCTAAGCCAACACCATCATGGATTCCAACGACTCGTCAGAGCCGACGTTGCCCCCGGCCGAACAGGTGAGGAACTACTGCGCATCCCCTCGCGATCGCCGCCATCATGGAAGCTGACTATTGCATTCAAGATGCGCCAGAAGCGTCTCGCCATGTTGAGCAAGGCGGCCGCTTCGCCCTCTTCACGGACACCCACCGGCTCGGAACCCTCAAGTGCGGCTGCAACGCCCAAGTCAGCCTCGCCCGCGCCCAAGGAAGAGAAGGAGAACAAACCGCCGCCTGCACGACCAACGCAGGATATTCAGAGCACGACCTCTCTTTCCGGACAGAAGAACACAGCAGAGCATGAAGCTGGTATGCTACAACCTTGAGAGGGCGTCTTGGAACAATTCAAGGACGGTGATGGCCCATATCTGGGAAAGAATATGCTGACAAACCTCGCAGTATCAGCGCCCCCAGCCAAGAAGGCCAACACCGCGGTGAAGGAGGAACCGATTGAAGACTGGTCAGACAAGGTTTTGGGAGACATCTTCCGCATCACACTAGACGAGAGTCGGACGCAAACCCTCGATGGGCGAGCTGTCAAAACCTACCTTCCAAATACTGCGGAAGAGACCTCGCAGGAAGGTGCGCCACTCAAGCTGACCATACAGAATATCGATTCGGCACTCCTCGAAGCAACCAGTGCCCAGCCCGCCAGCAAACCGCTTCTCAGCTACCTGCTGCCCTGTTTCCGGCGGATTATAAAGATCAAGTCATCCTTGCGACGACCATCTGCAGAGAAGTTGGCTGTTCTCGACGAGGCAAAGCGTCTGTGCATGAGCAACTGTGTCTTTGCCTTGACAATGCCCGAGCTCTTTAGCCGAGAGCCTAATCCGAGCCACGATACCCTTATTCCATACCTCTTGCGGCATCACGACAATGAGGATGGCATCTGTCTGGAATTCTACGACGAGGCTGTGGCGCGCATGGCCGACGATGAGTCCATTGGCGCCGTCTTTTCGGATACCATGGCCCAGCTCAGCAAGAAGCTCGCCACCATGTCCATGAACGATGACTTCAAGCCTTATGTGAACTGCCTTGTTACTTTCTCGCGGTATCCTCCTCTTCTGGATGCCTTGGCACAGCATCCCGACTTCCTCATGACGCCGACTTCAGACATGACGAAAGAGCAGATTGCTGTATCGAGCGAGACACAGACCATTCTTGGACCCTTCTTTCGCATATCGCCTCTACAAACTGAAGTTACAAAGACGTACTTCTCCAGCCCTCGGACCATTGACCAAGGCGCCATCCGAACCTCACAAAGTGCCCTGCAGATGACGCTCAAGACCCACCAGGGTGACCTCACGAGCATCGTCAATGCCTTTGTCCGTTCCGGTGCCACGGCCCGCAATCGCATATTGGACTGGTTTGCATTCATCATGAACACCAACCACAAGAGACGGGCACTTCACGTGGACCCAAAGGAAGTGGCCTCGGATGGCTTCATGGTCAATGTTACAGCTATTCTTGACCAATTGTGCGAGCCCTTTATGGACGCCACGTTTTCCAAGGTATCAAAGATTGATATCGATTATCTGCGGCGGGATCCCAGAATCGACATGAGTGACGAAACCAAACTCAATGCTGATCAAGCCACCTCTGATGCATTTTACAGCAAGAAAGCTGATGGCACCTCGAATTTTATCTCAGAGGTTTTCTTTCTCAACCTGGCTGCTCATCACTATGGCAGCGAGGCCACGAACTCCAAACTGAAAGATCTGGACCGGGAGATCAAGCACCTGCAAAAGGTCGAAAAGGAAGTCAACGAACAAATCCAAAAGCTTCAAGGCAATCCGTTGCAACTTGCCATAGCCAAGCGCCAGCAAGACCGCATCGTCAATGTCATTGATAAGACTATGGCGCTCAGATTCTCCATTGAGGGTGTTCTCACGGATAAGAGCATGCAGACTTTGTCGCTGCAGTTCATGCGCTATGTGACAGTATGGTTACTTCGTGTGGCGAGCGGCTCGTCATATGTGCCCGGACAAAAGCTGCAACTTCCTCTGGCTGCCGAGAGACCTGAAGCATTCAGCTGCTTGCCAGAATATGCTTTGCAGGATGTCGTCGACAACTTCAAGTTTGTCTTGCGGTGAGTGATTGCGGGTGTATGTTTAATGAACCGTGGTGAATACTGACACAAAGTCTAGTTTTATGCCGCAGATTATGATGTCTGCCGTTGGCGATGAAATAGTCGCATTGGCCATCACCTTTTTGAGATCTTCAGAGTATATCAAGAACCCCTACCTGAAGTCCTCCTTGGTCACTGTCTTGTTCGCTGGACAGTTCCCCATGTACCACTTGAGCAAGGGTATTCTGGGCGACATCCTGATGGGCTCTGAACTAGCCAACCAGCACCTCCTCCATGCACTGATGAAATTTTATATCGGTAAGCCTAGTACCCCGAGATCTGGGCTCTGAACACCGTTACTAACTCTAGCAGAATGTGAGCATGGCACCAGCACAGCGTTCTATGACAAATTCAACATTCGATACGAAATCTTCCAGGTCATCAAGTGCATCTGGCCAAACAATGTTTACAAGGAGCAGTTGGACCAGGAGAGCAAGATCAATCGTGGTTTCTTTGTTCAATTTGTCAGCTTGTTGCTCAGTGATGCAACCTATCTGCTTGACGAGGCCATGAGCAAGTTGATCAAGATACATGACTACCAGAAACAGCTTCAGGATCCGTCTCTGTCCCAGGATGACCGAGCCAAGATTGCCACCGACCTTGACCAAGCCGAGGGCGCGTGTCAGAGCTATATGCAGCTGGTTAATGAAACCATGGCCATGATGAAACTCTTCACGGAGACTCTCAAAGACCCCTTTACTATGCCAGAGATTGTGGGTCGCCTCGCAAACATGCTCGACTACAACCTGGACACCTTGGTTGGTCCCAAGAGAGGTAACCTCAAGGTTGAAGATGCAAAGAAGTATAACTTTGACGCAAAGACTCTGCTATCGGACTTTACCGATATCTACCTCAATTTGGAATCAAAGCAACCCTTTATTGAGGCAATCGCTGCTGATGGGCGATCATACAAGCCTAGCAACTTTGACGAGGCCTCAAAAATCTTGACCTCGCGAAGTCTCAAGGCCCCGGAAGAGATGGCAGTATGGGAAAGACTGAAGAAAAAGGTCAAGAGCGCCAAGGAGATTGCAGACCAAGCCGAGCTCGATCTCGGCGAAATTCCCAGCGAATTCGAGGACCCCGTAATGGGAACACTAATGACGGATCCTGTTCTCCTGCCGTCAAAGGTCATCGTCGACCGTTCCACCATTGTCCAGCAGCTGCTGGCCAACCCCCTAGACCCGTTCACGCGTAGCCCCATGACAATCAACGATGTTGTCCCCGACGACGAGTTGCGCGAAAAGATTGAGGCATGGAAAGCTGAACGCATTGCGGCTGTCAAGGCGCAGCCCAGCGGCGACGCCATGGAAACTGATTGAAAACAGCCATTATAACCCCAATGAGAAGAAGAAAGAAACCACAGAAGCCGACGAACCAAGTTATTAAGGATTATGGCGACTATCTGAAAAACAAAAGAGGATTGCAATTACCATTCGGAATGTCTTTTGCATGCAACACGTCAATGGTCTTGCGAATATCACGGAATGGTGTCATAGCATGGAATGGTCTGCGCATTTGAGCCCTTTGCAATGGAATGAAGACATGAGCCTGTCTGGTCGTGGACACGAATATCTGTGCCAGACTGCGAGAATTAGCCATAGAGGATATTAAGGGGTAGACAGAGATCATGTCAATAGCCACCAATACAAACAAATCACAAGACTAAAAAAAAAAAGTAATTCTGAAAAGTGAATACACGCGTTCGCCCCATCCCCTGGAGCTCACGTAGGATATTTGACAGTTCATGTCTACGATTGAACTCTCGACTTGTGCTACCCAAATGCCTTTATATTGAGTTGGGACTAATGATGTAGCTGACTGAGCGGACTACAACAAAAAAAAAGTTTGCTTTCTTTTCATACATATGAGCTGCAGACCAAAAAAAATCAACTCCTATCCATGCAGAAACACACTGACCAGAAGAAAACCTGTCTGTCTGAGTAGGGGCCATCGCTGGGCTTGTGAGAGAAATCGCTGCTGTTAGTACTCGATGCTGGTAAAATGCCAATATGAGGGTGCTGTTGACCTTTGCATAAGGCTATAAACTATGCTATCTCGATTCTGGAGAAGCCATGCCGGGAATCTCTTGATGGAACCCATCATTCATGAGAGTTTCTCTCCGTCAATGATAACGAATAGCAAGGCTTTCTCTTGGGCATACCATCCTGGGTGATTGGCAGGCCTGGCTAGACCTCTTCCTTTCAACTGGCCGATAGCCAGGAGTCTGCGTTGGTCGAGGTCATGGTTCTTGTTTGTAAATATTGATCCTAAATGATCATGACGAACTGTCGCCCGAACGCGCGGCGGGAGGGGGTGCTGGTGGCGCGGCGGGAGGAGGGCTGGGGCCGTCATCCCCAGGAAGAGGAACAGCAACTGGACCAGGTTTGTCGGGAACAGGTACTCTAATGGGACCTTTTGGTGCTGGCAAGCGATCCGCGAGCTTTTCGCCCCGGATGACCTTTTCAACTTCCTCTTTGCTGAGGGTCTCGTACTCTACTAGGGCCTGTGCAAGACGATCGAGCTCCGTCCGACGGTCCGTCAACAGTTTGCGGCACCTCTCGTAGGACTCATTTAGGAGTCGTTGCACTTCGGCCTCGATGAGTGCTCTCGTCTCGCTGCTAAGCTCCGTATAGCGCGTAGCATATTCCATGTGGCCAAGTTTGGGCGACATGCCCATCTGAGCAACCATCTGGTAGGCGACAGACGTTGCAGCTTGAAGGTCCTGTCCGGCATTAGTATACGAGAATGAACAAACAAAATGTGATGAGAGATAACTTACAGAGCTGGCGCCACTGGTCACCTTGTCAAGACCATAGACAATTTCCTCGGCAAGCTTGCCACCCAAGGCCGAGTCGATGCGGGCGGCATAGTTTTGCATAGAGTACGAATGCTTGTCCATTTCAGGGAGGTATGCCGTGTGGCCCAGGGAGCCTCCACGAGCAAGAACAGTGACCTTGTAGAGAGAGCTACCGGCATTTTGGGAGAAGAGCTGGATGAGTGCGTGTCCTGCTTCGTGGTAGGCCGTCATCTCCTTTTCCTCGGGAGTGATGACCATAGTTTTGCGCTCGGCGCCCATGATCACCTTATCCTTGGCCCATTCGAAATCATTGAGACCGACAAATTGAGACTTGGCGCGACTGGCGTGGACTGCTGCTTGATTCACAATGTTCTCGAGCTCAGCACCAGACAGTCCAGGGGTACTCATGGCAAGGGCTTTGAAGTCAACATCCTTGGCAGACTTGATCTTCTTTGCATGATGCTGCAGAATTGCAAGTCGGCCACGTACGTCGGGAAGGTCGACATTGACGTGGCGGTCGAAACGGCCAGGACGTACAAGAGCCTTGTCCAACAGTTCTGGAAAGTTGGTCGCACCCATGATAATAACACCGTTGTTCTGCTCGAAGCCATCGAGCTCTGTAAGCAATTGGTTGAGAGTCTGCTTTACATAGGCCGCGTCTCGCGCATTGCGACGACCACCGATGGCATCCAGTTCATCAATAAAGATGATGGCGGGAGACTTGGACTTGGCGGCAGAGAAGAGTTCTCGGACTCTCTTGGCACCAACGCCGACATAGACTTCATCAAATTCACTGCCAGACATGTAGAAGAATGGTACACCAGCTTCACCGGCGACAGCCCGAGCAAGCAACGTCTTTCCAGTGCCAGGAGGTCCAACAAGCAAGACACCTTTGGGAAGCTTGCCACCAAGCGTAGAGAACTTATCAGGGTTTCGCAAGAAGTCAACCATCTCCTGCAGCTCTTCTTTGGCATCGTCGCAACCGTGTACATCCGAGAAACGTGTCTTTTGGTTTTCGGCTTTAGCCTCGCTGTCGACCTTGCCACTGCCAGGGCGCTTCAAGACGCTCAAACTCTCGACAAGCATCGTTATGATGACGAGACTGAGGTACGTAAACAAGCAAAACCACAGGATAAACTTGACCCAACGGAAGAGGGAGCTGCCCAGAGTCTCATCAACCACAACATGCAGAGGTCCGCCCTTGCCAGCTGATGGTTCCTTGGTAATGGCAATATTCTGTCCGCGCGAGTGAGCAGCCAAGGCTTGCTTAACAGCCTGAAGCTGAGTAGGCGTCAGGTCGGATGGCAGGCTCTCTTCAAAGTTGCCTTGAACAGGTTGGGCGACGGCAGGCGTCAGCAGGGCGAGCGCCTTGTTATAGGCCTCGTCCGCAGCAGGGTTCGTGGCAAATCGGCCAGAGCGGTATCGTTCGACAATGATCGCAGGCATGTTGGCCTTCAAAAGAGCCTGGTAGAAAGCATTCTGAGCCGTTGCGCTGCCGGGATTCCTATTCGCCGACTCTTCCATATGAGCAAGGAGGTTCCTTGACAGCCCGCCCGTTTGGTAGGATCTTTGCTGGAGAATAGGTCGGTTCAAGAGAGGAGTCCTGAAAGCTGAGCGGGTAGCAGAAAACGTAGACAAGGAGCGAGAGACTGGCGATTGAGAGTAGAATCGACGAGCGACCGGATTGGAGGCGAGCAGGGCGGCACCCGACATGCTCGAGATGGAGGTTCGAATGTTGAATGGGGTCGAGATATGCATGGCGGCGGGACGGAGACGCGAGACGATGGCCGAATCATGCCGGGAATCACGAAGGAACTCGGGCAAGTCAAAACCAGATTGCTGCTTGGCTGGCGGTGCAGTCTGCTGTGCCTGGTCGGAAGCGGCGGTTTCGGGGGACTGGGAGATGCGAGCAGACCTCTGGCTGCGCGATGCAGACGCTGGGAGTCGGAATGGCATCGTCAGAGTATTGAACATTGATGGCCAGATGTCGGCCGTGACAGCGGCGATGCTCGGTAGAGCTGACGCATGAAGCGCCATGGTAATGATGTTGTCGTGCTATGCGCAATGCTGGGTGGAAAGACGCGAGTCGACGGCTACTACTAGATTGGGTGGATGGAAATGTTGGGAAAAGGAAGACGAGAGTCGACAACGACGTGCAAACCCGCGACGGATCGTTCCGGCGTCTCTCCGGAGTCAAAAAGAAACAAGCAATCACACGATGGCAGCTGGGTAATTGCCGTCCGCCGACGTCGAGCATAAAAAAAAAAGGTCGAACGTGGTCAGCCGCAAAGTGTAGGCAGTAGTAAGTCCACGACCGATCACGAAAGGCAAAGGGTCCAAAGTGGGCAGGCGGCGACCGCGGAGGCTACAAGCTAAACTACGCGGAATACATCATCTCGCACAGACACCTTTTGACTGACTGGTAGTGGTGACTGACTGAGGACGTCCGTCTCTCTGAGAGCCTGGGGCCAAAATCTTCTCAGGCCTTCCACAAGTCCACTTTGACCTGTTGTTGGGTCATCATCGAATCGGATCAGGCCCCCACCCGAGAAACTGGCCCCGGATCTCGGCGTAAACGCAAATACCGATCCGACCATGATGACTAAGGCATTTTATAGGCCTTGGGAGTGAGTGTGCTGGGTGAAATGGATACTGCTGAGCCATGTCATTCATGTGACCCGACAGAAATCAGTCTCGTTTCCAATGTCTGTCTTGATTCAATTCAAGCCTTGATATAGTTAATTCCAGGAAATTACCGAGCGCATTGTCTTAATTGTGCAATTATGGAACAAAATTGTTTCTCTCCATGGTAACGTACATGTTTACTTCTCGACTTGACGTGCACTGCATTTCAATCTCATTTATAGTCTCTTGTGGACGCAAAGTAGAATATCAAAGTGAATAGAGACTGGGTAGTTGCAGTCATTGATTTGTAGGCTCGTTTGCCTTGATTAATGAATGAATCCATAATCCTTTATATCCATATCGGTGGGAGCTCATCCGTAGACCTTCCATCTCTACCTGTAGTACCATTTCCACTGATGGAAAAAAAAAACATCATCTACAGTATTGTAGTCTTGGCATCTGATTTGGTAATCTATCCTGACTTTCCATTCGTGTCGCCATTTTGCGCACCGTTTTGAACACGAGGCTCAGTTATATGGGCAGTGCCGGCAGTCAGAACAGCCTTTTCTGCCTTCTTCTGCAGCCTCTTCTCCTCATCGTTAGTCAGCCCTTTACGGATGGCCAACACATTATCTACAATCACCGCATCTATTCCCGTTTGCACTTGGCGCTGCTCAAATATTAGTACTCAGTCAGGTCAAAAGGGATGAGGTTGCAGATGTAAGCTGCTTACCTGAACCAGCAGTGGGTCGTTGTTCTGGGCGCCATAGCTGACGCAAACCAAGCCACTTTGCTTCACCACCTTGACGAGTCTGGGGCTGTTGACAAAGGGCTGAGATGTGCTCACAATACCAAGCAAGTTCCAGCGGCTTGCAAATCGAATTGCCTCCTGCAGACTGCTCGCCCGAATGTCACCAACTGGAGCACAGCCGGCGTCCGTCAGAAACATGATGGGGATACTTGGCTGCTTGAAACTGAGACAGAGGCAAATATCCGGGTTGAAACTGCTGAAAATGAGGTTGCGGTTCTTGGCCAGATCATACACCTTGGTGAGTACCGTATCACAGAAAGAGTTGATCTCGACCGTGTACGTGTCCATCTGCTGCTCTTCGCTCTCGTGCAACATGGGATACTTGAGCTCAATGTTAAATCCAATGTCCTCCCGAAGGTTCTTGAAAAGATCCTCCAGAGTAGCAAACGGCGCTTGAATAAAGTTGCCGCGAGAGTTGGCCTTGAAACCCTTGGCTTTGTAATCACGTGTATGCTTCATGCGCTCATCAAGATCAGTGCTACCGTCCCCAGCAAAGCCCATGCTCTGAGACCTGATACGGGGTCCAGGCTGGTTGTTGCGAGTCTCGTTGATGTCTCGCCTGACCATTTCAGGAGTCATGTCGCTGCGTTCCGGGTTGATGTGAAGGAATTGTTCCAGAGTCAGGGTATGCACAGGAGCATCAATGCCTGTCTCGCTGACAAGGAAGTCGTGGTAAATCACCGGCACATGGTCCTTGGTGAGTTGCACATCAAACTCGACATAGTTGGCACCCAAATTTGCAGCGGCAATGAAGGAGGGCACTGTGTTCTCGCCAAGCTGGAGCGACTTGTTCGTAACAAGATTCTTGCCCAGCCCGCGGTGGCCAATAACCATGGTAGACGACATTTTCTTCCAATATGTCTGTTGAGAGTTGATCTCCATGCGTGGATGAGAAAATGGGGTAATGACCAGGAAATTGAAATTGACAGTTCCAATCACCTCGAGATTCGATGCCATAATCGGAACGCAAACATCGCCCTGAAGGTTCATGCGGTTCGTTCCAAGTGTCGGCCTGACTGAAGAAAGCAAAGCCACAGCTCGGCCAACCTTGTTTTTCTCGTTTCCAGAGTAGGTTGGGACGATATCGAACATGAGCTTCACTTTTGAGATATCTGTGGTGTGAAACAGGATGGGTTCCGTTGAAATGTTCTCATGAACTGGAAGATCGACAATGCTTGGCTCACCCTGAGCACCAGAAGCCGAGACAACTACTGAGAGCGCCGTGTCGAGCTGATTCGTGTGGGCCTCGGCCAAGGGAACACGATCTAGCTTGACTGCTTCGGTATTCTTTCGCATGTCCATGGATCCTAAGCTGACCATGACGAGACTGGTATCCTTCAGATAACGGTGCCCAAAGGACTTGATGGGGTCGGCAATACGGGTACTTCCATTGGATCGCCTGTCTTCGAGAGACGAGATCTCAGTTGGCGAAGGGCTACGTCCAGGCTCTTCTTCCTCATCCTCTGGCTGGAAGTCCTCCTCCTTTGTGTAGGTAAACAGAAGTCTCGCAATGTCCATATGGCCTCGGAGGGCTGCATGCTCCTTGGCAGTCCAGCCAAAGGAATCCATCTTTCCAGCCTCAGCACCCTTTTCAAGAAGGAGCTGCGCAACTTCAAGATGTCCATCTACGGCAGCAATGTGCAGCGGAGTCCATGCAAACGATTTCTCGGTCAATTCAAGATTCACAGTCTGGCTTGCACTGCCCCCAAGCAGGATCTTTGCGCATTCCAGGTGTCCGAAACGGGCAGCAATATGCAGAGCTGTCTCGCCGGTTTCGTCCTGCCAGTTGATATTGATTCCGGCATCGACGAGCATCTGAACAATGGCTGCAAAGTTGGACTTGGTGGCAATCGCCAAGACGACACCCGACTGAGAGACGGGGCCTCTGTGCTTGACAATGGCACCAGCTTCTCCTCGCCAATCTTCTCCGCGGAGTAGGGCTTTGGTTGTTAGGGGGTGTCCACCGATGACAGCAAGATGAAGCGGCGCATTGCCCTCTTTGTCTTGCCATTCGCTACCGTCAATTCCACTACCGACATGGAATTGGTCCCATTCCTGCATCTTGGCCATGATAATCTCGCACACGACAACAAAACCAAACTGAGCAGCATAGTGTAATGGGAGACGGCCAAGAGAGTCTCTCTTGGACAAAGCCACACGTTGCTCTGGTTTGAGATTATCAAGCAAGAAAAACAAGACATCTACAGCCTTGTCGTCCTTGCCGAGAAGTTTTGTAGCACCATTCTGGGGTAACGGATTGGGAGGAATGTAGTGACTCGTATAATGCGAGCTGACAGGGAAAGGAGCAGCATTGGGCTCCAGGTCACCCTCGGTCGCCGACTTGGTGCGGCCAATGTGGATAACCAGACGGTGGATGCAGTTGCGTTCGTTGAGGTCATCTACTTCGTCCAGAGACTTGATTTGCTGCAACAAGAGGGCGATGCAGGACTTGGACCGTGAAGAAATGGACCTCTGGAGACAGTTCAGGAGCATGGCATGGGCAGCCGGATCCTCAGAGACCAGGTTAGCTTCGTGCAATGCTGCCTTGAGACCTTCCACGTCGTCATTTCTGATAGCCTGCTCAAGCGCATCATATGCTGCTTGTGGCACACTGAGCATTGCCTTCGCAGATGCTCTTCCCAGAGAACGAACGGACCTTGCGGATCGATCAGACTTGGAATCATCCAGGTTTTGTGAGTCACCCAATACCGAGAGCCACTTATTGATTTCTGTGACCAGCCGAGCAATGGTGGTATCCTTGGCAAAAGGTCTGGGATCTACCTTTGTGGTAATATATCTGTGCTGGATAGTGGTATCCGGAATCTTTTTATCAAGCTTCTTGGTGATTTTGACGAATCCCCGGCGGTTGATCTCGCCAAACCATTGAAGATTCCTCAACTGGTTGCGGAGCTCAAGGAGAGCTCCCATGAGCTCCTCTACCTCATCATCATCGAGGTCGGGGATGACGTCTGGACTCCGGCCATAGCGATCCTGGAGGAGTTTGAGTCGTCGGTGTGCCTCGGAAAATTTCTTGTTGTAAAAGGAGTCAACGTCCTCAAGATTACGGTCTAATGCATAGAAGAACTCTGTTGTGGAGGGTTAGGTGACACAAACGACCTCGGAAAAAGCCCGAGGAGGAAATCGCACCTGCTAGATCGGCCTTCTTGCCTAATTTTGCGCTGGACTCTGCCGCTGCCTTGATGAGCTTCTTCAAGCCCTTGTAGTCAATATATGAAGATGCCCACTCGGGGACTTGGTTTCGAGGTAGACTGGGGGGGAGGTGTCAGTCGTTTATATCCAAATAGTGATAGGCTGGCACGAGTTTGATGCTCACGTTCTTCCAAACTTCATCCTGTCTTGTGTATACTGGAGGAATCAGCTGTGTAGTTGTGATGATGTTTTCAAGCGGCTGTGTTTTCCCTGGGGGCAAAAGGATGGAATATAATATATGGATGCCAGTCGAGTCTAGGGCATATGACTGGAGCTCTTTCGAGGGTACGTGGGGTCTGCTTGCGGTCTGGTGGAGGTGGATTTGGTAAATGGATCCAGAGGGTAGGTCTCGAGTCTGCAAGGAGTTTGCCATCAGAGAACGAACGTGCTTAATTACGAGGCACCAGCCAACAAGAAAACTAGTACAGTGATTATTGATTACCTCTTTCTGTCTGAGCGATCCAGGAACGAGTTTTCTGTCTGCTGTCGTGTGACTAGGCGACTGGGGTAGCGGGAGTCTGGCCAACGGCGAAAAAGTACGGGTCAAGAGAAGCCTCTGGGTATAATAATATTATCAGGAACGGCGGTAGTATCACAGGGACATAGCTCGGACGCCATTGAAGTGCTCCTGCTACTGGTGACTTCTTTGTATCAATTTATGCCGGCGCGGGTTCCTTGAGAGCGCCTGCACCTTGTGAAGAGACGGGGACAAACAAGGGAGATGCGAAAAACACGAGGCACTGGATGGAGGGGCCCTGGTGGTATTTGTTTCAGGAAGGCGTGCCGTGTCAAGCTTGAATAGGTCGACAGACGAAGGATTAACCAAAGGGTCTCTGTGAGCTCTGCGGGTTTGAATCGTCGACGTTGAAGCTCGTGGAGCCGGCAGGCATCATGACTGGTCGATCGCGCATGAGACGGTCCCACACTAAAAACTGTCATTCACTAAGAAGTGGGTTGCATCTACCATCTTGGCAACTTGATCCACGGCCTGTTCAGGGGGGTGTGCCATTGATGTTCTTGGAATGCTTCCAGTGCTTCCCCGTTCCTCAATGCTCACCCCCGCCAACCAATCGCCCAGGTACGGCTCGGCTACCTAGGCCCCATATAGTCCAGTCTGCATCTGCAATTCACCCTCTTGGTGATGCGATCGCGGGGTTGCAAAAGGTCGAGAATTCACTCGCAACAGAGACAAAGAATCAAATATTTCCCCCGCGGTCTCATCATGATTTTTTGCACAAGCTGTATAGATAAGAAGTGAGGCTAAACCTAATGAGCAAGAAGAAAAAAAAGGAAAACTACAGGGACACAAACGTCAAGTTTCTAGGGAGCTGAAGCTGCGCAGCGCACGGCTCATGGCGTAGTCAGCATTGTTTCTCAGGTGACTCTCCACGTTGCTGGTCCGGGGGTCCGAAGCTTCCTTTCCCTTTTTTCACCGACTCAAGCACATGCACGTGTTGGTCAAAAAAAGACGTGGCAGCGTATGTAAGCTGCTAGGTAGGTCAGCAAAAAACCACTCCTGAAAAAAATCACTCTGCAAGTTGATCAATCTAGATGTCGTCGGCGAATCCGTTGAATGCATGATCCAGGCGCATCACTTGGTACAATCCTGGAGCCCTTGTTCGTAACTGAGACCTTCCAGGCAGACCAGGTATAGAATGCACGATAAGGTAGGTAGCTGGGGAAAATAGCTGGTAGCTTCAAACTTGAATGGCTTCCCGAGGCCAACCGCCAGCAAGATGCACTAAAAGAAAAATCAAGCCTCTTGGTCTGCCCCGCGCCTCGGCTTTTACGTAGGTATGTAGGTAGGTAATGTATCCAGCCCTAGCTGGTAACGCTGCACAGCTTACACAGTAATAACACTTATTGCTACGTTCCAATGCGAAGAAGGCACCTGCTACTACACACCTACATACGGATCTCGCTTTCAACTTTTACAATACGACAAGTCCTTTATTTTCTGCCCACACAAGCAAGTTTCAAAGGCCCAGCATTGCATCACTATGACATCTTCGGGTGGGTCGGTCAAAGTTTGTTGCGGATCTATAATGGGCAACTTCTCGACATTTTATAGTAGTAATTGGTGAGGAGGGATGAAGCCATTCACTGTTCGTCTAGCCTTGGAAAGACTGAACTCAAAGAGACAGGATGAGATGGGTGAGGCACTAGGACAAACAGGGCTGTTGATTTGTAAACATTGATCATGCTTGCTTGCACTATCTTTTATTGAGCCGTTGCTTGCTCTTCTGTATCTATTCTATATTAGATATGCCGTAGGTCTTTTTGCATATATACAATGAGGCAGCCAAGAGCCTGCAAACAACGAGCTGGCTCCTTGCGATCATTCGGTTTTCCGATTGCTAATCACCACGCAGTCGCCTCAGCATACCTGCTGGGATCCACTTGTCCGTCTGTCCACAATACTACATGTCTCTGATTAGACTCCGTTGCAGCCGATTTCGCACCAGAGACAGAGGCTGGCATATCCACATATCTATGGGGCGCCGAGGACTCATCAAAGGTTCGTGAGTCTTCGTCTTGCAGTGCTGCCACAATTGATTGTTCAGCGTCCTCCTGCAAATGTCTCTTGGTCTGCCGCCTCTTTAACTGATACTGTAGATGCTCACCTGTGTACCTGAAGAGCAGGTCAACTGGCATACTGTGCCAGTCCAGATGAGCCCTCCTGCAGCTCCATTGATGATATTTCCTGGCGTAGCAGAATAAAATTGCCTTGATTCTCCCCTCAATCTCGCGCGCGCATCCTTCCAATTGCCCGACCACATCAGTAGATGTTTCCATTTGAGCTGAATCTGTTTGTTGGCGCGGATCGTAGAAACTAATCAAGGCTTGAAATGTCACGTCGTCCAGATTCCCGGCGGCGGCGTCAAGCTCCCTCGCGATGGTCTGATCGGGCATTCCTCGCAGTAGCTGTCTCTTGATCTCAATCCCTGTCGAGATACCAGATGCTAGATCGATAGCATCAAGAGCGTGAAAAACAGCAGGATATTTTTCAAGGTTCCGGTGATTCCATTCGATCGGCGGGAGGACATCTACATAATCGAGGTTGATTCCAGTTTCATGCTTGATGGCCAGCACCTTTATGTGAGCCTCTATCCTTTTCGTCTTCTCTTCCAACCTTTGTTGTTTCATGACTAAGGCTGCGCTTTTGCAGATCAAGTCAAACTCGCCGGGCCTGCCTCCAATTGAGTCGAGAAGCTGCTTGAGAAATAGTCGAGCTTCTGCAAGAGCTTCTATATGGCCGGAATCGGCAAGACTAAGAAGCGAGTAGAGTAATTCTCCAATTCTGCGCGCGATCTGAGCTGTAGATTGGGCAATAATATACTCCATGAGGTAATCAACCCGCTCGGTATGCGACAACAGTTTTTTCACCAGATATCGAGCATTCGTTTGGTTGAGAGATTCCAAGCTTGTCTTAAGGAGTTCATGAATGGTGTCCACTGACGGCAAATTCTCGCTGCACAGAGCCCCAATAAATGACCTGCTGGCGGCTTGAACCTGGTTGAAGTGTAGCCACCCACGCGTCAAGGTATCAAAAACTTCGTGTCGACGATCGAATCTCGAAATATACGTGAATTTTCGAATAACAAAGTCTTTGAGCCGCCAATGGTCTACTTTCGTATTCGCGATTTCGTCACTTGGTCTCTGAAAGAGGCGACGTATATGCATGCCATCTCCGATGTAGCCTCTCATCCGGAGAACTATCTCGCGGAATAGCTCGACGTCATTCGTAGCTATAGCATGGCTGAGTAGGCAAACGACTGTTTGTTGAGTTGCTGGCCAGTCGGTAGACATCAGATAGGAGTCAATCACGGCCCCTGCAAGGTCCGGCCTCTGCACCCGGTGGAATCCGGCAATCAGCGTCATGAAGTTGTGGAGATTCGGAGGCGCCGGAGATGCCAAAAGATTGAAGCAAATCTTGCCCACTGCTTCCTTGACGTTTGGGTTTTTGCTAAAAAGCGTGCGGAAATTCTCGCTCAGGTCGAAACGAGCAGTCCTCGACGCCTCGGGCTCAACGTGCGGGTTGCGATACATTGGGTACTCCCCCAGGAGATCCTCGGCTTGGTCCAAAAATTCATCTCCCGTAGACGTTTGATCAGCCGACTGCCCAGCAGAGCTTGTACTCCTGGCCTGCCATAAAAGTGTTTGCACCAACTGCTCCACAGTCTTGGTTGTTTTCTCTAGTTGATTTTCATTTGCCGGAAGTCTTATCCAGTTGTCTGATTTTTCCTCGGCTGATATCGCTGCCTCTACTTGTTCCCAGTTCACCTCATGCCGCGGAAACGTAGATCGAGATTGTGGTGCAAAAGTCATGGTCCCTATGTCTGCCAACTCCCCGAGCAGCACCGATCCATCTTTCGTGGCTCCGCCTTCTGGTGAAAAAGTCTTTGGCAATGTGCTCCCTTCATGGTCCCAGGATCCTTGCGTTTCATCTGCCTCAAAGGCAATTGGTGATTCCTGGACAGCGAGTGTGCTCAAGGACGCCCTGGCTCTCTCCAGCTTCGCATCGAGTTCCGCTCGCCGCACTTCCTTCCTTTGCGAGTCAATCACGACGGCCGTACCCAGTATCGTCGTGTAGCATGCTGTGAAGAGGTCGGCACCGGTCACCCTTCGTCGTGGGGCAGCTGTGGTTGCACGTCTAGAAAGCGCGTTGGTGGGATGAAGGCACACTCGACAGCGACAGGCCGATTGCGCCTGTGCTACCCTAGACCAGAGTGTCTGCATATTGCAGACATATCGCCCGAGGCCAATCGCGCAGATCCGAGAGGGGCAATTGATGGGTTTGGACTCGTTGCTTCGCTGAAATTCGGCTGTAGTGTAAAATGCAAAAAGGGCTCACGATTGTCTGATGATGCTATGCTAGGCTAGACTTAGGACGGATCAATGATCAATCAGAGCCGGGGTCTCCGTAATGGTGCACCTTTATTGGCATAATCTGCCTAAATACATCAAGCTGCTCGCACCACATATCGTCCTCAGATCCATTCGGGTTTGCCTTGACCATTTCAACTGGGACTCTTTGCATCTGTACAGGAATTGCCAAGAAATCTTGAAAAATGTTCGCTCTGACATTGACAGCTGAATTGACAGGGTAAGCCAGCCCATAGAATAAGCTGGAATATTATACTTACCAGAATGGCCATCAGGGTGACCAACTTGCGCCCTAGCGACACCGAGGAGAACCCGTTTTGGTATACCTTTACAGTGCAATGTACATCATGCCGCGAGACACACTCAAACACGGTCGGTGTTAGTAGATTCGTAAGTCGATAGCAGTGCCATCCATCATGGCAAGCTGGACCGCTGATCACGAACAGGAGAACAATGAGATGAGTGGCAGCAGAGGAGAGGCCAACTTTGTGTGGAAGTGCAAGAACTGCAAGGTCTGGTCGCCATAGCCTTGTGCGTCAAAACGAGAAGACTAACTTTGCTTGACAGAGAGAGTCTACTGCCTCCATCAAGACGGCGCCCAAGGCTTATGAGCAGGGAGAACCTCCCAAGGCCCAGTCTATCATTGAGTTCGACTGCCGAGGACTCGAGTTCACGGACTTCCACCCAGAGGTTGGTCCACCCTCCTGTCATCAAAGGGCATAATCAGCTGACTGTTGTAGGGAACTTGGCTCGCCGATGGTATCGACTCTGGCACAAAGTTCACAGAGATCGAACTCACAGATGGAGAATGGTTTGACTATGACGAGAAATCCGGAGAAGAGGTTATCATCAAGGACCTCAAGTGGAACATCAAGAGAGCTTGATGGTTTGTTTGGTATTCTCAAGGCTCATTAACAGATGCATGAAAATGCAAAATCATTCAGAAAAAGAAAAAAGAAGTGAAAATAGCTCTATGAATTTCATCGTACTCGCGGACTTGCAATGGTACACAATGTACTGAAAGTCTCCCTTACGAGCAAACCCAAGTTGCTAGATATGCATATAGCGAGGTTCAAGCTTTCCGCCTGCCCCGCTAGCTGGAGCTCTCTACCTGCATTAGGTACCTGGGACTCAACCATCTGCAGTCGCAAAACTCCAAACGTGAAGCTTCAACCTGCCAGACGCGACAAGTAGTTTATTACGTGCGCGCAGGGAAAAACACATACAAAATCTGCCCATCATGAGTGTGAGCACCCCACCTACCGTTCCTACCCATCCTTTGCTGACCAGAATACCTACAGTTTATGCCAATCAACCCGCGGCCCATGCTGCAAGACCTGTATGTTTCTTCCCTCTGGGGACCCGTTTCGCGAACAACCCAAACCCTCCTCGAGATGGCAACAACTTCTCCGAAAATCATGAAAAGCTGACAAGTTACTTGCAAAAAAAACCACAGGGTCAACAAGGACATTGTCGTGCGCCTAAAGTGGGGCGAGACCGAGTACAAGGGCAGACTGGTGTCGACCGACAGCTACATGAACATTCAGCTCACCAACGCGCAAGAGTTCATCGACCAAAAGTTCACGAGCGACCTGGGCCAGATTCTGATCCGGTGCAACAATGTGCTGTGGATCAAGGCTGCCGATGCCGGCGAGGGGGACGTCAAGATGGAAGGTTGATTTGAGTTTGCAAACGCGAAAAAGGAGGGCTCCTCTGTGTCTTCAGCGAGAGCGAGCGCGATACATCACTGCGGACGGAAGCTTGGCGGGCTTATTCTTTGTCTGGATCGAGCCGAGATGAGGTGGAAGCCGTCATATAATGGGAGTTTGCCAATGAAAGGGCCGTCGCTGGATTAGGCGCGGCAACAGAGACTGGGTTGTACGCACCATTCTGAGTTGCCCAGTCAGAATATTGGCGGGCAGGATTATTGCGCGTGGGATCAGCGGTGGCACGATCCCCTAGAAAAGAAACTGAAGATAAATCCACCGGCAGACCGAGTCTGAATGTTTTGGTAGAAGTACAAGGCGTTTGGTCATGTCATCAGAGAAAAAAATGGTCATGTCGTTTTTGCATTTAGGTATTCTCAACTAGGGAGGACCGAGGACGCCTCCCATGATTTTGTTATTCAGCTGTCCCCCATGATTTTTCAGGTTTTCCGTTCCGTCAAACTATCGTCTCGAGATTTACATTACGCAGGCTATCTTGCGGCTGCTGCACATTTCCGACTCTCCCACTTTGATCCGCTGTGTCTCGCTAACCCACATGTAGGTCTCAACCATCCATTCGTACCAGACCTTTGCATCATCGGTCTGTCTCCACATGCTCACCTCGACCTCTGCGTCTGGCGGCAGATATAGTGGTTTCTATCATTGTTAGCACGAGTTAATCGCGAGCGCAAGATGTGGTGGCCATACCTTGAGTGGGAAGAAAATGGGAAACCAGGAAATCATGTCCTTGCTCTTGCGTTGAATGTTGTCAGGCAGAATACTGAGCTCTACCAATTCTTTACCTTCAATTCTGGGACGGTAGAGAACCGACTCAAAGTATCCAGCAAGACCATGAATGACGCCTCTATCCCGGCAGACAAAGGTCAAGTGGCAATGCCGGGAGTTGTGGTCATTGGCACCCACGCCTCCAGCCATTGAGCCACCGCCGCCTCCTACCACACCTCCTGATCTACGCGCTTCAATCATTTCCATAGTAGATTGTGGCAGTGGGTGAATAAACTCCCAGGCCTGCTGAAATCTTCCGTGGCCAGGTACACGCTGGCTCACAAAATCAATCTGGAACAGTCGGACTACCCATGGTGTGTCAAAAGCATGCTCGTCAAGAGGCGCCCGCTGGCTAATGTCCGCATGGAGCCGGGGCGTTGAAATCGGGGACAGGTGCGCCGTGTACGATTCTGGGATGGAGATGCCATGAGGTTTTGCGAGCACATGTTGAATGCCGTCCAAGCATTCTGGGGACAATTCATTGTCGCCAAATGAACCCAGCAGTTCTGACACCAGGATATCAACATTGCCATACTCTGGCTCGTTGGCAGTGCCACCGATGATAGGACCCTTCCAAGCCCGCATGTCCGTCTTCACGACTGTGACTCGTCCATTCCAAACTTTCTGGTTCTGACGAAGAAGGTAGACATAGGCGTTGGGGTTCTTCTCTACTGCCCACACCTTTACAGGTACGCCAGTGCTTTCGCTCGCCCGAAGTGCACGCGTTACGAGCGGCCCACGTCCCGAGCCAGCAACGGCAATGACAACTTCTCCAGTGGGAGAAGAAGTGGGCTTACGTTGATGCGACCATTCAGCCAGAGCTTGAGCGATGGCTAGCTCGTACTGGTGGTACTTGACCGGGTCTGTTTCAAAGACTTCGTACGTGATAGATTCCAAATTGTCCGAGAGAGGCTGCAGAGGAGATTGCAACCAGTCCTGAAAGTTGGTGAGTGTGGCTTGCTCAAGGACTGAATGAGGCTCCTGTTGCCGTTCGAGGTGGCGCAAGTAAGAAGAATACCGATTATGGACTGGGTATCCTTGGTTCTCCTTCTTTGGTTGCTTCGCCGCCTCTGCGAGAGTTGGGAACTCGTCGGTTTTGGGGGCCTCTGTTGGCTCCTCAACATCCTTGACTTCCGGACCGACATCACAAAGCAGGAAGTACGGGGCGACCTTGAGTTTCATATAGCTCATGATCATTTCCTGATGGTGCCGAGAGAGCGAAGGGTTGCCGCCCTTGTTTGCCTGGAAGGCCTTTGGGCCGATTGTGAGGTACTGAACTGGCTCAGAGAACCAGCGGTTCTGAAGTTCCTTTGACGGCATAAGTCGAGGCATCCGAATTGCTAAGGTCACGTGTCAGTTGATGCTCTCTCCAACACAAAGGGCGTCAGCTGGGCATACCAACGAAGAGTCTCGTGTCATAATTGCACGTTGAACGAATGACGTGCCAAGAGTCCCACGAGCTAAATATGTCAATATTATCTTGTGCGCCACTTGCCGCTGTCTCCTTGCTACTCTCAAGCTCGGATGTAAGAGTACTTGTGGCCTCTTCCAAGCCTGGCTCTCTGTACATGGGCAAGTGAATGACAAAGTTCATGCGCGTACCGACCACCATGGCCTCCTGCACTGCTCGCGCATATTGCGCAACTCCGCGGCTGCCGTTGGCTTGGACGGCATCTTGTCTCGGACCAGGAAAGATGATTGTACGTACGCCGCAGAAATTGGCATAAGCAACCTCGAGGTTGAGAACCTGTCTTGAGATACTCGAGATGGCAGGGTTGTCCGAGCACAAGTCAATCCAAGGACTCGAGTATGCAATCAGCCCACTGGTGGCGGGACCAGGGAAGAGCGAGGTATCCTCCGTGGTCAGCGGGGGTACGATGGGATCTGGGTGGCAGCTTGGAATCTCCGAACTTTGGAGCTCGGCGCAGCTTTTTGCGGCCAGCTCAGTGACTCTCTTTCGAAAGTTCTCATTTGTGACAGGAGTTGTCACAAAGCTGAACTGCTTTCTGGTCAGAGGACTTGGCCGCGATGAAATATGCCCTGCTCACTTACACCGGCGTTTAGCACTTGACCATATTGCAAATCGGTCAAGGTCTCGTGTCGGGCAGAATCATGCTGCCCGATGTAGAAAATAGGCCTGCTCTCGTCATAGTCCTCGCCGCCTTGGTCGTACGAAGATTGAGCCATGTTGTGACTGTTCTTGCTCAATCTCGGCTGGATTGCGCCGCTTTGGTTGGGTTGTGTTTTGGCAGCGTCTGAATTTTGCTGTCGACGTTTGCGGGCTTGGGGGAAAAAAAACAAATTCGTTTTAGTCACGAATTCACAACATGGCAAGTACGGCCAGCTGCAGGGTATTTTTTGCGTCAGTGACAGCTTACGCTTGTAAAGGAATGAATTGCTAGCTCGAGGAGAACTATAAAGGTTCAAAAGCCATGAGACTTTAAATCATAAGCATACACGAGTTGATGGGCGCAACACATGGACCCAAAATGATTGATGGAACGGGCTGGGCCGATTACCTACACAAATGTGTGCATCCAGCGCACAAGAAAACCCAACGTAGCTAATGCACCCAGTGGGTGCCTTTTCTAGGCGATTTGGTAGCTACATGTCCAGTAACCATGGTACCTAGGTATATCAATCCTTGGGTGAGGCAGACTGTTAAATGATGACGAATATCGATTCTTCATTCGCGGTGCCTGAAGTTTTTCAAGTTTACAAGCACAGTATCGGTTCTATCTATACAGAAAGAAAGTATTACATCTCAATTTGGGAGCTTTGGGACAGCCAATAAAAACTTTATTGTGGCATTAAATAGTTGACGATCATAGCTGCGAGTCTACCTACTGTACTCTGTAGGCAGGCAGGCAGGTAGACGACTGTCAAAGACCCTGAAAACCTCGATGGTACAGCAGGTCTTATCGATAACAATGGTTGCGGGCCCCACTACGATACCTGGGAGCTCCCTCTGTCGGGCGGACAGGAATCGCGGGGATTGTTTTTGAAAGCCCACTGACGACTCCTGGCAGCCTCCTGTAGTTGAGGTGCTCCCAGTCCCCCCGAACCGACAAAGGAGATAGTACTACGCGTTTCGTAGCGCAGCACTGTCAATATGAACCGACGAATGGTTTGTTCTGCATCCGATACGAATGTTGTAGCTGTCGGATACTGACGCAGTCCTCGCGCAGCTCACCAAGGAGGAGGAGGGTGCTGGCGACGAGGTCGAGGTCCGTCGCGAAGACCAGGACAAGATCAACAAGTTCAGCCGGTTGCACCAGAAGGAATTGAAGATTCAGGAGGCGCTGAATATCAAGAGCGTGAGTTTGTCTGTCTGATCCGTAGGAGGGTCAGTAGGTCTCAGGTTGAGCACGCTGACGCCTCGAGCCTTGTGTTGCAGAAAGAGAAAGAAGAGCTCGACGATATCACGACGGAGCTGGAATTGGCAGACGAGGATGACCTCGTACCGTAAGTCACATATACTCCAATGATGATTTCAAGTGTCAGGCCGACTGACACGAATGGTCACAGATACAAGATCGGCGACGCCTTCTTCCACGTGTCCCTCGAGCAAGCACAAGAGATGCTTGCCACGTCAACTTCGAACATCGAGGAGGAGGTTTCGGCCCTGGAAGACAGGATGGGCACCGTCAAGGACGAGATGACACAGCTCAAGGTCGAACTATACGCCAGATTCGGTCGCAGTATCAACCTCGAAACATAAAAGCTTACCGAATATAACAAAGCCAATAAGGAGACATGCGCTTTCCCCACCTCGCATCGTGCCAGTAATACCTACCTACTAGGATGAGCAGTGCCATAAGCGCAGCGTCGGCGTTTACTGCAGTGCATCCTCATCCTGTGACGGAAATAAGGGATTGACTAATATGGCAACTCAACGACGATGGATGCTTTCTTTCCCATGCGCTTGGTAATTGTACTGGGCCGGTGCTGGGGGCAGCCTAATGTACCTTACAGATACTTGGGGCATCGTAGGCCAGCCAAAACGGGGGAGTCGCACAAATGCAGGAGCCGACCCGATTCGGGGGTTTCGGGGGTAGAAAATGCTATGGAGACATGACACAAGCCAAGATCAAGCTTAAAAGTTCGTTGGCGGGTGCCTCGGTGCTGGAAGTTGGATCGAGAATTTGCAAAAAGCTGCTGAAACGGCGCTAAAGCCCATCAGCCCAGGGTGTAATATGATGTCACTGGCCACCCCCATACGGGAACCTTGACCTAACCCAGGTACAGCTTTTGCGACCTTCATAAGCCAGAATCCAAACAAGAAAATCATGGCAGTGTCCCTGGGCAATCCTTAATTAGACAGGCAGATGCTGGGGGAGCTACTCGATCCTCAATCAAGCAGGACTACTATTGGTGTGCTAGCATTGCATCCAGGCACACGCTTACTCGCTCATTCTTGTTGAAAACTTCCGTGATCTCCAGGCACATACCCCCCGAAGATCTTTCCTTTCTCTACAGGCCAATCGAGTTGCGTGTGTTTGTTTTCCGTCCTCCACGAGCAACCACTCATTCGTCCGCCTGGCTCGGAGTGAGTGCTACATTGCCAAATTGCGCCCAAAAGAAGAAGAAGTTTACTCGTTTTCTCTTTTTCTTCCACGTCCCTTGAACACTTCAGACAGTCAACAAACATGTCGTACAAAAGGGGAATCGTCGCATCATGGCTATTTGCGACTGTAGCAGTTGCCGCGCCTGCTCCAGAGCCTGTGCCTCATCCTATGATCACTCCCGCTCCGGTCCTACGACGCGACTATCAGCGACGAGACTTTGACCCGGCCTCGTACGTAGACAGCGTGATTAGTGGCATTGGCAGCGACGTGTCTTCATACGTTGCGTCCGGCATTCCGCAGTACTTTCAAGACTTGCCTGTGGGTGATTCAGTGGAGAGTTCTCTTTCGATCAACGACGATGATCTGAAAGCCACGCCTACCCAAGTGCTCAACATACCGTAAGTACAAGCCTCTTCCCCTGGTCGTTCAATGATAGACTAGATACACACGCCTCTCTGCCATTGCTTGCGACAAGTGACTGATCAAGCAATAACAGGGGCTACGCCAACTGGACAGAACAAGGTTGGAATGTCCGCGTCCATGGCAACGTATTCAAGCAGCCCAATATAACGCAAGAAAAGGTGGACGATCTTGCCAACGTTTTCCTAATCGATACGGATATCGACAGCCTGCCAGCGGATCAGCAAGCACAGGCAAGGAACCTGACCAGGGAAATCTTTGTGGTGCAGCAAAAGGATGTGAACGTTACCATCAATTTTGTCAATGATGTGACGGTTGAGCCAGATGCCAGCGGTGGTGTCATTAATGCGGTAAGACTCTTTACTCGGAATTCCGCCATGATATAATAGCCCTATCAACCAAAGTACGAGACTAAGACGTGTCAATTCATATAGGAAGGAGGTGCACAGAGCATTCAATTGCCTTACCCGACGACCGATGAGGGTGACTTTGATACCTTTGTTGTGCTGGCCAACACCACTGGCCCCAATGGAGGCTATATGATTGCTGGTAACGCGACCGATTCGATTCAGTCTCTCAACATGTACGCAAATGGGACTGATACCGGCAATGCTACGGCATACCTGGTTCCTCCCAATGGCCTGACCATAATCTCCGATATCGACGATATTCTACGAATAACCAAGATTTATGATCCCAAGGAAGGCTTGCTCAACTCATTCGCCAGGCCATTCACTCAATGGGAGAACATGCCAGAAATCTACGCCAACTGGAGTGCTTCGATACCAAACTTCCACTTCCATTACCTTACAACAACACCAGAGCAAGTCACAAGGAATTACATGGAGTGAGTGATCTACAGTTTCTAAAGTCATTGCCTTCTTGCGAACATTGGCCCTGCGAGCGTTTCATGGATTAACAAAATGGCCCTTGTGCTAACACTGTTTAGATTCATTTACAAGACCTACCCGCTCGGATCATTTGATACACGCCCTCTCAACTTTTCAGATGTGTCCGCAACTCTTCAAATCCGGCGTTTCTTGCTGGATAAGATCTTCCAGACGTTCCCCGACCGCAAGTTTGTCTTGATGGGTGACACGACCAACTCTGATGTCATGGTTAGTAGATCTGCCATTTTTGGCAGTCTCTTGATGGTGAGCTTTGATACTGATCCTTGACAATAGAAAGCCTATCCAGCACTGGCCAAGGACTATCCAGGACAAGTGCAGTGCATCTTTTTGCGCAACACTTCTGCTACTGATTCAACAGACCTTTTCCCCTACGACACATCAGGCTTTGAAGGCCTGAACCAGACTCAGTACATGGTAGGTGCAATTGGTTCTTTATTTGAATTCCTTTCATTGCAAGGCCTAATTCAATTCCCAGTTCTTTCTTCACGCGAATGATTTGACCAATTTGGACATTGTCGGCGGCAACTGCTATAACTCGACGATTCCTCAAAACGTCACTTTTGGCTACCAAGGTTATGGATTTGGCAATGCCGCGACTTCTCTCGGCTTTGGCGGAAGCTCAGCCATTGCTCTTGCCACGTTTTGGTTTGCCGTCTCCCTACTCTTGATATAAGAGAAGCAAATATTCCAAAAGTTTGCATGAGGATATGAGAAAATGACGGATAGGTCTGGCTACGGTTTTGGATAGCGGTGTTCTCAGAGGTAACCGATAGGTTATAGGCATTCGCGACTGGCGTTTAATGAAGCTGTATTATTGACTTGATAGGGTTTGATGATTCCACAGTACAAAAATTAGGCCAATTGGTTTCTTCTTCATATGTTAGCCTTTATGCGCAACGCAAATGATTGTTCATGCCTACTCAGACTTCCGTGTTGCGCTGAACGATTTCTCTCGTGGGATAGAAATGAAGCAGCGATGCCACTCGCAACAAAGGATTTATCGACCAGGCACAGTCACAAAGCCTCCGTGTATGGCTCGGAAGACCATTGGTATATAGAATACTCCAAAATTTCCAAGATACCTATGTGTAAACGAAATGTTAATAAAGGCAGGTGGCAAGAAAATCCTATATTTACCATGAATTCAAAAAAACATACAACACTGCTTTTGAGCACCCCGAACCGGGACGATCTACTTGCTTATCAAAGACGTAAAATCCTCTTCCAGGGGTGAAGGAGACGGTTGTATTGGTTGCCCTTTGCATTGAAATGTTCTGGACAATCATTCTTACTGGTCTTGGGGGTACGTGTTTGTCTGATAATTCGACATTGATTGCGACGAGTTATGGTCTTGAGTCGGAGATATACACTGATATCACAAAGCCTCGGCTTTCGAGTCACACACACACTCGAGATGATTCGGGTGTTCTTTCTTGGTTCGTGCTCAAGGAATGGATATGATGCGCTTGCACGATAGCTTGTTCAAACGAGTCTATAGATTACTAGTCTCGCGAAAAGAGAACAACAGAACACAATTCTTTATATATATATATATATATTAGAAAATCGATAGGGTCCTCGACGAGACAGAAGAAACCACTCACAGACGACTCGAGGATGCAGAGCAGCCTTTACAGCACACGTGTCATATAAGCCACACCGTCACGAATTTTATGCCCCTACATATGCGCAAGCTTTGCGACACGGAGCAAGTTTCTTCTTGTTGCAGAGCACTCGTGGACTCGAACGAGAAATCACATATTGAGTGTTTAGACTTGATGACTGCCACAGAATGTTCATGGTCGCAATTGAAAGACCCATCCGAATCTAATCCTCGGAAACATACAGGGCATTCGATCAAGTTGTAACTAGCATACTTCGCGTGGTTGAGTTTCTTTGATTAGAGAGAGAAAGAGAGATGAGAATTTATGCTTTCTCTCGCCATCAAGTACAAGAGCCACCTGAAAAGATGGAAAGCAGCGAAGCTGCTTCTTATCTTTTTTTTTTCTCCCGACCTTTTTTGGAAACAACTATTCCATATTGAATACAACACTACGAGATAGTTAAACTTAATCTAGATGGCATATCCGTCCAAGGATCGAGACAAGTCTAGGGACGGATGTACGCAAACCAAAAACAGTCAAGGGTCAAAAAGCCTACCTTACCTTAGTCCCCAGCCCAGGGTTACCAGGGTTTGAAGAGCTGAAGCTGAAAGGCCTGACTGACCCTCTTTTTGACGCGATCCACGTCCGAGGTCCTGGGAAATAGTGCAATGACTTCTTTTCATTATTTCCAAAATGGAAAAGAAAAATTCTTTCATGGGCCGGACTTGCTCGGCAGATGCGTTCCACGCAAGGGTCAATCAATTCGACGCGATGGGGTCAGAGAGAGGGACCCAATATCAAGTGCGTGTAAGCGATGTCATGATATGATGTAAACCCGTGGCACAAGCGACGTGCCAGAGTGTGGATTTGGTAAGTATAACCCATCATGTCATGTTAGCCTTATGCGCACAACATGCGAGTGTGTTCCACCTTGGGGCTTTCTTTGATGAATGCATAAACCATTCGGGTCGGTTGGAGCTTCGCTTTTGGACGTGGAGGAGAATAATGATGATGATTTGTAATGCTCCCAAACATGAAAACCCATCACAATGTAGGGAGAAAAGGACAGAGAGAACAAGAGGGGGTGTGATTCGGTTTGTCATCACATTTGAGTGTGATGGTCCCCGAATCTCAATGGTCCCCGACTTCTCGTGGGATGCGAGCGGCGTGAACCCCCGAAACGAAGGTTCGACTGTGCATCTGAGGCCCGTCACGGCTCGGCACGAACGGGGAAGTGAAGGGAGAGGGCAGAGGGGAGAGGGGAAGAGTCTTCGAGGCTCTAAAATGGCTCATCCACAGACAAAAGTGCAGGGCCGGGAGTGACGAAAAATGTACGAGACCCCTCATGGCCCATTCCCGGGCTCGGTTTCGGGCTCTTGGGTCAGACATGACAATTGCTGCTGAGTCGATACTCGCACATCTTCTTACATATAACGCTGCATGCAGGATGCAGACAGACAGACAGGCAGACAGACAGTAGTCAGCGGGATGGGGGTTGGCTTCTTAGTTGGAACACACCCAATGATCATGATCCATGTCGTTGTAAGTGGATCATTTTCAATACTACTAGGTAACCTAGTGATCGGCTAGGTTGATAACCGTTGGCTTAGGCTGGATGATGTGGAACTCGCTCTCGCAGCCAAGGGGGAGAAAAAGAAGAAGAAGAAGAAAAAAGAAAAGTGTCATTGGTATATAGTATGCGTTATACTGCGCGGCCGCGAGTCATGGCAGGCAACGCTGCCGAGAAGGATCATATCTGACGCTTTGCCAAGCCGGCAGACGTTATTTGTTACCACAATGCGTGGTTCGATGATGATCCAACCGTCAGACAACTAACTGGGTTTTTACCTATCACTGCAGTCGTCAGTCTGACAGTCGTTGGGCAACTTGGATACGTACGTATGTAGTGGTAGTAATAGTAGTAGTAGTAGGTTTTTCCTTGTCGCTTAAAACGAACTGACGCCAATTATAGCTGAACCCCGTCTTATCTATTCCTTCGTCGTCAAGTACTTAGCTATCTCCTTCTCGAGAGCCTGTCCTGGTTGGTGCTCGTTGCGGCACTAATCGGATTGTCTCCGGGGCCCGTCACTACTCCGCCAGAGCGGAGAAACCATCTGTGGAATGTGCACTTTTTTCTTTCTTTCTCTTTTCCTCTGTCTCTTCCTGTGTCTGTCACTCCCGGTGATAGGACTATCGTAGTTGTGGCTAGTGAGGTACCGTACGTAGGTGTGTCACAGTATTTCAAGCTTGTCCTGTCCTGTATTGCGAACTTGCCAATGGGCTTCAGTCTTAGTCTCGATTTTTTTTTTCTCTCTTGCTGCAACTCTGCGGCACGGAAAGGATTCTGACCTAGGTTAGCCTGCCGTCGCTATCTGGGCTGTCTGGTACGCTCGTGGCATCAAGGTTTTTGTTCATTTCGGAGATCGTCATTGAAGAAGTCATTGGGATCTCCTTTCGGCCGCGTACATGGTAATATTACTGATCAGGATCTATGATCAAAACACTCTGCCCCCTCCCCCCC